GGTGTCCTGTGGGCTTCTGCAGTGCGAACGCTGCTTAAAAGCAGTAACTTGGTATGAAAGCTGTGCTCCTAGTGTGGATGTGATGGGGGAGCAGGGAAGGAAGGATTGGGGCATCTTCAGCTCTGCAGGGGTTAATAAAGCCAAGGGATAAGCAAGCAGGAGGGAGAGGAGGTGGTGGCACCTGGGCGGGGGGGAGGGAGTGCAGGGCTATGGTTGCAGGGTGCTGGGAGCGTGATTGCACCTGGCCCTGCATCCTGCTACCTTCTGCCAGATGTTGGCCTCCGGGTTGTACATGTAGACCTTCTTGGTGTTGTCCCCGATGAGGTAGATGAGCCCGTGCAGGGTGGCACAGCGCGGGGCTGAGAGGTACTTGGGGATGAAGGGGGACGTGATCACACTCCACAAATCTGCAAGGAGCAGCCATCAGCAGTGCATCCCACCCTTGGTTCTTTATGCAGCTGCCAGTGACTGAAAAAAGCACTGCCAAGCCCTCAGCTGTTTAAGGGGGAGTTTGAAAGGGAGGGGACAGAGCAGCCAGGCAGGGCAGCATCTGCAGACCCCATCCCAAACAAGGCTCTTGCATAAAAAAAAAAAAAGGGGGAAGGCTATTGTTGGGAAGGATAGTGTTTGTAGTGGCGGTGTGGGATGGGGGGAGACCACTGTGGGCTGCGCAGAGACTGCCCGAGGAGGTGGTGTTGTCACAGGGGTTCAGTTTCTCCCTAAGGTGGGCAGCCTCCCCCACCCCTCTTCCCTGCAGATCCCACTCCACTGAAGCTCAGGGCCATGCTGTGCTGGAGGTCTGAGACTCAGGTCTGTGCTGCCGGCAGCCGTGCTCCCAGCTGGCCCCTGGCCCTGTGCCACAGCCATTGCCAGACGCCATTAGCACGTGATGGCGCCCTGTGGGACCGTGCCTGGCAGCACAGGATGTCACCTGCCTGGGGGTCCCTCTCCGTCCTGCTCCCCAGGGAGGCGTTGGTGGGGCACAGCGGTGCGGCCAGCTCTCACCTTGGACAGGGTTGTAGCACTGCAGGGTGAGAGCGTTGTACTTGACGGCACAGGAGCCCACCAGGTAGAGCTTGCCCAAGCAGCTGGCAGCAGCAAAATTGCTCACATACTTGAGGGCTGGGCTGATGGCGCACCAGCTCTTGTTATAGGGGTCATAGCGCTCCACTTCCACTGCGTCCACTGTCGTCCCTGCAGGGCAGTGGGACGCTGCCTGCAGCCCCCCCGCTGCTCCAGGTCACCCACAAACTCCCACCCCAACAGCACCCACGGGGTCTTTGTGGCCTTACCCCCGATGACGTAGATCTCTCCATTGAGGACGGCGCTGGTGTGGTTTGTCCGGGCTTTCAGCATGGAAGCAATGGGATTCCAGGCGCCATCCCTGGGGCAGAAGCACCAAGCCTGGGTCGTCGACCATGTGTCGTTCTGGGACCCCCGGGATCCGCCTGGGGAGGGATGGGTCAGGCAGGCCACCCCCTCTGCATGCAGCTGTCCCCGGGAATCCCTCCCCAGCAGCCGCATGTGCCCAAGAGAGATGCAAAAAGAGGGCTTTGCTCCAAGAGGAAGATAGTCCCTGGCCCCACACCAGCACCTCATGCCCACATCTTTGTCCCCCATCCTCTAACCCGCTCCTTGGAGATCCCCAACCCACACCAGCAGCCCTGGCACCTACCTGTGACGTACACATCGTTGTTCAGAGCCACCAGGGAAAAGCCCCATTTGTTGTAATCAGGGAAGTCGGGCAGAGCCATCCATTGCCCTGAAATGCAGCAGAGCCAAGCGGTGACCCCCTCACAGCCAGCGATGATGCTTTTAAGCAAGCCTT